GGATCCCTGGAGGAAAAGGGTAAGCCATTGGAAATGGTTGAATGCTTTTGAAAGGGCTGAGCCCTTCGGGGGTCGCATGATAGGGGGAGAATCCCTGGAGGTAAAGCACTGAACGCTTTGGGAAGCGCTGAGCGGTCTGGTACTTTCCGAATTAGACTTTGTTGTGTTCATAAAAGTTGTAGCATTGGATGTCAGCTTTCCAATGGCATTAGAATCACCTAAAAAGGAGATCTAGAACTCTAGTTATGGCTATTTTAGTGAACAGGGGTCAAGTTGTCAGCATGGATTATATCTATTTCGTTTTTGGAAATTTTTAACTAAGTAGATATTTTTTTAGAATTTCATGTCTTCACAAGAGTTATAGATTATCCTCTTATATTTCTTTTGAGATAGGTTTGAGTTTATTTGGATGAGTATAACTCTCTGTATGTTGTTTTCTTTGACAGTTGTCGAAGGGAGATGCATATTATTTTGATGTTCTAAGGTGTTATCATGTGGATTGAAAAAATGTTTAAAGTAGTATGATACTATATTGTAAAGTTGGTCCGTATATGTATGATATATGATGTAAATTGGTGCTTGATTCATATGTATGCTTTGTAATGATATTGATGTGTATTAGGATGTAGTGCAAGTTTTGTGTATGATCCATTAGTTTATGTGGAAATGTTGGTTGTGTAAGTGGTATTGAGTTTGATTGAGAAATGTAGTGTGATACTTTGGCATAGTTATGTGTGTGACACGATGCTAGACGTGAGATGCATTAGCATAGGCATGTGCGTGATACGGTGCTAGCTATGTGATTATTTTGTTCACGGTCGTATGCGTGACACGGTACTGGATGTGTAATGCATCGATACAGTCGTGTGCATGATACGATGCTAGTAGTGGAATGCATTGGCACAATTGTGTGCGTGGCACGATGCTAGATGTGTGATACGTCAGCATGGGCGTGTGCGTGATACGGTGCTAGATGTGTGACACGTATAGTGTATATATAAATTTGTGATGTGGAAGTAGAATGGATTAACTTTAGAGTTAATGATGTTAAATATATTAGATTCGGATATGAGTGACATTCAAGGTGTAAATAATTGAGTCATGAGATTACTCTAATAGTGTGACATCGGGTTAGAGTGCGACGTCGGGGCAAGGGATTTTAGAACGTTGATTTCATTGTTATTGGAGTTTATGCTACTTTAGTTAAATTTATGAACTTATATTTAATAAATATTTGTTTTAAATCATTTGGCAGAAGCACTCTAAGTAAAAAAAAAACTCATTGAAAGCTTGATTAAGAGATCTTTGGTCCAATTGGCAATGATTTCATAGTTTCTATAGTCTAAGAGCCTTTCTTGAGTGATTGAGAGGTTCTTGTAGAGTGAGGAGTTTGCCGGAAAGCACCTTCAGTTTTCTTTTTCTATAAAAGCTTGCTTTAGAGGTTATGAAATCTCTCTCTTTCTATTTATGGCTTTAATTTATCACTTTCCTAAGATTAGAGCATAATGTAGCTAGTTCATTATTGTGTATACATAATTATGGGGTAAAAATATTAATCTTTGCTTTGCTTTATTGATAAATACGTCATAGGGTACTAATTTTAGGCATTGTGGGTTGCCTAACACCTTCTCCACACGTAATCAACTCCCTTACTCAACTCTAATTTCGAAAACCATTTCTTTTTTTAATGTCTTAAGCAAAATATCGGTGACAACTCCAAGAACCATTTTCAAAACCATTGACGGAGGTTTAGTTAGGTTATCAGACATTCCAATGTCAATGAGATTTAAAAAGGGAAGTTAAACAAGCCATCTAAAAGAACAAAATTAAATTAAAAAAATTTAGGTCGGGTTCCGACAATGCTAGGGTAAACTCACAATAATAAACATCATAAAATAAGCATAAACTTAATACCACATTTCATCTTTCAACATCAACTACAAGCAACAACTTTATCAACACATGCAACATAATATACAACTGAAATGCAACAACATAGACAACATCCATGCAACATCAACTAATGTGTCATCATGCATATACAACTAGGAGATCTCTAACAACTGAGGTTGAGCAGTCTAGATGGCATACCTACCGAATCTAGCATTAGTTCTATCTCAACCAGGTCAGTTATAGGGCATTGTTAGGAACTCTAAAGAGAACCAGGTATAGACAATAATTGTTGATTTCTCAAGTGTGCCACTCAGACTCAAAGGTCTAGTACTACTATTAGGACATAAGGGTTTAGGTGTGGGCCTACCACGACCTTGGCTTGCATCACCAATCCACATATGGAGTTAGCCCACCCACTACCCTCCAAGTACCACGCACCCTCCAGTACCTAGTCAAAGACTACATCTCTAACTAGCTAGATACCTTACTCAAATTGGTCAATCAACTAGAACATGGATCGACTACTTCCATGTCGCCCACACATTACTAAGGGATTCAACTTTTAGAAAACAACTTTTAACTTATCATGTTAGTACTATGTATCTCAACACAGGACATATATCTTAATCATATGTCCCCAACTTAACAACTATACAACAATAGGCATCTTAACAACTTTACAACAATAGACATCTTAATATAACTTGAGTAAACAACTTGAGCAACTATAAGCATCATATTACCACTTCAACAACTATAGGCAACTTAACAACTTTGATCAACTTAACAACATATAACCAACTTGAATTTTCAACTTGATCAACTGTTATCAGCACAATATCAATAGTACAATAATAAGCAACTTTCAACATTTCAACATATTCATCATACAACTTTACATCTTTTAAACAACTTACAAAAACATTTAATCAACTTTCATAAACAACTGAAACAACTTATAATTATCTCTACAATACAACACCCTCATCAATAATAGTCAACATGTATACAACTTATTCTACATTATACAATTCGTGCCCGGCACAAGCAAGCACATGCCCAGCACTAGGGAAATAGGGCATTCCCTGGTACTTACACGCCTAGTGCAACTACCCCTGCACCTGGTGCACCCCAAGTTAGGGACTCCTCTAGGGGTCCCACACCTGATGCACCACAACCCGCGCCCGATGCCACTAAGTCAGAGACTTACCCTCTGAATTGCGCTCAAAAAAATTAGAATTTCGCTTGAAGTATTCCAATATGAGGTTTTCTACCTTAACCGCACCCAGCGTGGGCTTCCCACGCTCAACGCAAAAAGAGAGTGAGACTCTCTACCAAGGTTGCACCCGATGCATCCTCCACTATGCCTGGCGTGACCTCAACAGAGAGTTCATATTACAATTTACTAATATCGTGCCTGACGTGTCTCATCCCGTGCCCGGTGCCCTTCAGCCAAAGACTCAATTTCAAGTTCCCGCCTGACGTGACTAACCTTGCCCCAACATGAACTAGGAAATTGCCTATTTGCCAAAGGCTCGCCCAGCGCCATGAATGCGCGCCCGGTGCATGCTCAAAAACCAGCAAAAACCCAACTTCAATTTTTCATCCAAACCTGAAATCCAACAAATCCTAAAGCATGCAACAAGTTCCAAACACTTACTATTATACTAAACAGCTAAAAATAATGTAAAACATCAACATGCATCTATAATCCTTCCCACACTTTAGCAAGTTCACCACAACATCAAAAACCCAACTCCTCCCTTCTCAACAACTCAGTAATCACACACACCCAATTCACCTTAACAACTGACCTACACAAGCACAATTGTAAACTTCCCTATCCTAATTAAAGCTCAAGATGAGAATGTGAGGAGAGTGAAGAACTAGATTCAATTTCGACTCTAAGGATTTTTCGCTTCACTAGTGTTCAACCTTAGAGAATGAGAGGGAAAATTGTTCAGAATTTGTAAAAGAGGAAGTGAAAGTGAGGGTGGAAAAAGAAAAGGAAAAGTTTGGGGCATCACAAGAATCATTTGAATCAGTGACTTGATTTACATTGGGAGTGGATTTCTTGTAACCTCTAGGGTATCCATGCTTTTTATAACATTTGTTTTCTGTTTGGCCAAGCATTTTATAGTAGCTGCATTTGGGTCTTTCCTTTTTGTTTGATCCAGATTGGTGAGGTTTAGAGTTGGATCGAGGAACAACAAAAGCAATTGGTGATGGTTGCTATGTGGCAATGCCAACTTGTTGTCTTTTTTCTTCTTAAACCTCAAGGGAAAAAACTTGACTTGTTGAAGGAATAAGATCCATTAGTAAGATCTGACAACTGATCTGAGAATAGTTTTCATTGAGACCCATTAAAAAAGACATCATATACTTAAAATGAAGGTACTCAAGCAAAAGATTTACTCCCTCACATGTGCAAGAGTGAGGTGGTTGAAAACCACTCAATCCTTCCCAAAAACTCTTGATCTTGGCAAAATACTAGCTGACAGACATTGAACCTTTATTGCAAGAAAAGATTGCTTTCTTCAATTGGAAAACCTGAGGCCCATTTTGTTTCCTATATTTGGAGTTTAAATCTTCCCAAAAGATTGCGACTGTGATGGTGTAAATGACACTCGTAGTAATGTTTTTGTTAACTAAATTGAGAAGCCAAGATCTTACAATGCTATTATTTCTTTTCCACAAAGAAATTTTAGTTGGATTAGTTGGCTTCGGGATTGAACCATCAGCAAATCCCATCTTGTTCTTGGATTCAAGTGCGATAACAACAACACATCTCTAAGAATCGAAATTGTCACCGTTCAAAGGTGTGGACACGATGCTTTTACTTAGATGATCAGCATGGTGAATGAAAAGAGGATCATGTTGATCAATCTGAATTGGAAAAGCATCAACCATGGTGATCACAAGAAAAAAAAATCAGAATCAAAGTATGCAGAAGGGGATCAAAAATCTTCTGATACCATATCAAAGTTTCTTCAATGGTGAAGGATATGAGCGAAGAACAAAGAGAAAGAAAGAAATATACTGAATGAAATATTACTCATTGATGACAAAAGAAGAAATACAAAGCTATATATATATATAACCTAAGGATAAAATAGAACAAGAAACAAACTAACGTACACAAGTTACCTGTTAAACTAGTTTACACTAACAACTTAAATAAAATAACAATTAATAAAAGGAGAATGGAATATTGTAATAGTGTAGGATGCATATAAAAGAAGTGAAATTGTTGCTGTTGAGGGAATTGATTCTGAAACTGAAAATTGCCTGGAGCATCATAATTGGGATCAAAACGATGATAGCAATTGGTAGCAATGTGGCCAATTTTATTGCATACTTGACATTGAACATTGCTATGACCATCATGGCCACCTCTTCGGCCAAAGCAACCTCGTTTACCATTGCCACCGTGACCAAATTGAGTGCACACTTTAGGAGAGGTCGACCTAACAACACATACACTTTCATCATCACTAGAAACAATTTCATTCTTATTTGATGTTTGGTAGTGCTCCATGTGTTCATCTATTGCTTCGTATATGAGATAAACTGTTATCTTTTTCACAATTAATTTGCTCTCATAAACAACAACAATTTCCACTTCGTTTTTAGGATCTATATTTGATAGTACTTTTTGCCACTTCTCATTGTCACAGAAAAGTAATGCATCTCTCTTAAAAACTTGAATGGTGGTCTTTGTGTGATTTATCACCAGTAAGTTTTTCAAGCCGGTTGATTTTATATTGTTTGGTGAAGAATAATGAACATGACACATCATTGTCTTCAAGTTGTGTCCATTTACTTCAGGGACTTCAAAAATCACAGAAGAACCTTGGTTGTCAAATGTTAACCATTCTGGATAATTATCACCAGGGAGCACATAATTGCAATCACCAGTACTTTTATTCTGTAAAATGAAAATAGATATGCTTAAAGTTTTTATTTTAGGTAACGGGATAAAAGAATATATGCTTAAAAGTTTATTGAACAATACATTAATAACCTTCACAATTAATTCAACAGTTGAAGATATAAAAAGATTATAACTCATTCTCATCAACAAAAGTAATCTTTTGAGTACCGAAAAAGTATAATGAATGAATATAGCTTGATAAAAATATTAATGTTGTGAATACAATATTTGCTCATATTAGATAAACAAAGATTGTTAGTCCAACAAAAAAATTCCATACCTCAAAAAAATGAAAATGTGACAATACTTTTAATTTAAAATTTGATTTTATATAGTGACAAGCTATTTATAATAGAAACACATAATAAAAAAAATGGTCAAGCAACACTCTTAAAAAATATTTTCTCTTTCCTCTAGTGTTCTATGTGGAAAAATTGAGATATGAAAATAATTAAAAATAAACAAGAAAAAAAAAATAGAAAAGAGGTTTTGCTGGAGTGTTCAAAACCCTTATAATATACAAATTCGGGGTTTTCCAATCATATGTTATCACATGCAACATCAACGTAATTTCTTATATGCTAAAAAAAAACAAAACTCTTCTAATACTAATTACTTATTTGGAATATATATATATATATATATATATATATATATAGAGAGAGAGAGAGAGAGAGAGATCCATTTACTCTAGGAATAGTCTACCTAGACTTACTTCGTTCAATAACTTATGCTCTATATTAAATCTAAACGATCCAACTGTTAAATTTAAAATTTTTAATGCACAGATCGATTACGCAATTTTTTTAAAAATCTAAAAATTATTTGATAGATCGTTTAATTAATTCAAATTGACGGATAAGTGAGCGAGAATTTATTATGAGAGATGAGATGGTTAAAATATAACCCTTAGATTAACATTCTCTCACTTGATTAAACCCCAAATTTTCTCTCACTTGATTAATCTAAGGGTTATATTTTAACCCTCTCATCTCTCATAATAAATTCTCTCTCACTTGATATGCTCCCTATATATATAAATATATATATATGAGGAGGGATTAAATGAATTCAAGAGTAACTCTCGCTTAAGTTATTTCATTCAATAACTCATGATCTATGTTGAATTTCAATAATTCGACTGTTAAATCAATGTATAAAATATTTTTATGATTATTTGCCAATTTGAATTAAAAAAAATGAAGTATCAAATAATTTTCAAAAAAAGTTTAAAACTTTTAGAATTGATCTATGCATTAAGAACTTTTAATTTAATAGTTGGTTCATTGAAATTCAATATAAATCATGAATTATTGAGTGAAGTAACTTAAGCAAGAGTCACTCTTGGAGTCATTTGATCCCAATCTCTCTCTCTCTCTCTCTCTCTCTCTATATATATATATAT